GATGCTATAGATTTGGGATCGACGGATCATTTTCAGAATTTGAAAAGACGAAAGGCTATAAGCAAACAATAAAAAAAAAAAAGAAAAAAAAAGAGATGCCTGCAGTTTGGTTTGCTTTGAAGAAATCTTTGAAATGCAAATCAGAGCCACTGGATGTCCATGATCCAAAGGGGAATGGGAACCTGAGCCATATATTGACAAGGAAATCAGGCAGTGGACGGTCAGGATGTTCTAGGTCTATTGCAAATCTGAAAGATGTAATTCATGGAAGCAAAAGGCACACAGAGAAGCCACAAACTTGCAGTCCAAGATCCGTTGGCAGTAGTGAACTTTTGAACCCAATAACGCATGAAGTTGTGTTAAGTAATTCAACTTGTGAACTAAAGATCACGGCCAGAAATGGTTTCCAAGAAGGTGGTGCTAGTGGCGGCGCCTGTGGTTCGACGTTTGTGGGCACGCTTAAGCCGGGGACTCCGGGCCCACGGCGGCTGAAGGGAAATAAGCATAGAGGATTGGCTAGTCCTATAAGGAGGACATCTAGTAGCCTTTCCAGGAGGAGTTCTGGATTTGGGGTAATCCCCGCAAGGCCTGAGGCCTACTATGGTGCAGATTCTAATGGTGCTTTATTTTGCCATAAATGTGGTGAACCATTTGGTAAATGGGAAGCCATCGAAGAACATCACCTCTCCAAACATGCCGGTAAATTTTACCTTCCGTGCTTTGGTGACCTCAAATTTATTGGAAAAAGAGTTAATTTATTTCGTTCTTCTTGTCGTGCATGTTATTAAACTTTTTATTTTATATTTTTTTTTCTAATATTTCTTTCTTTGAAACAAGAACTTCAGTTTTGATGTTCCACCTCAAAATACTATTTCTCCTGTCACAGGTTTTTTGTATTGAGGCCTGAATTTTGCCAGTTGTCTCCTTGAATCTATGTAATTGATCAACTGAATGTAATTAGAAAGAAAATGTTGGATATTCTTTTTTAAAGTCTACGTATTCTAATTTTAAACTTCTCTTATTTTGGTTCAGTTTCTGAACTTGCTGAAGGAGAGTCCTCAAGAAAAATAGTTGAAATAATTTGCCGGACGAGCTGCACAAAGCCAGACAGTAATTGTGGAGGAATTGAGAGGGTTTTGAAGGTCCACAACATGCAGAAAACACTAGCACAATTCGAGGAATACCGAGAATTGGTGAAGATCAAAGCAACCAAACTTCCCAAGAAACATCCTCGTTGTCTAGCCGATGGAAACGAGCTTTTAAGGTTCTATGGAGCAACTGTCGAATGCAATCTAGGCATCAATGGCTCTTCAAGCCTTTGTACATTGGATAAATGTAGTGTTTGTCGAATTCTAAGACACGGGTTTTCATCAAAAAAAGGGACAAATGGTGGTAGTGTTGGAGTATTCACAGCTTCAACAAGTGGTAGAGCATTTGAATCAATCCAATCATACGATGAAAATCCTTCAATAAGGAAGGCTCTAATAGTGTGCAGAGTTATAGCAGGGAGGGTACATAGGCCTTTAGAGAACGTTCAAGAATTGGCTGGTCAAACAGGATTTGATTCACTGGCTGGGAAATTAGGTCCCCATTCAAATATTGAAGAACTCTATTTGCTCAGTCCAAGAGCTCTCCTTCCCTGTTTTGTGGTAATTTACAAACCGTAAGTCGTTATAGACGAAATTTTAACTTCTTTTGAGCACTAGACTCCGGCTCGTGCTTAAGGAAGTTTTGTGGATTCAACTATTATTTCCAGCTCTCCACTGCCTTTCGTTTAGATTTTGTAGACTTGTGTTTATAAAAGCCATTTTTTCCATGCTGCTTTTCACTTATAAGTGGAAAATTGTGGATTAATTTCTCAAAATTATAAAGACATGTTCTGTCATTAAGTACTACTCTCTCTTTGTTGACAATTCACTAAGTCACTTCTTGGGAGACATAAATAGGTACCTGCATTTAATCACCAACTTGACTCGTCAGAGAAAATTTAATCTCATCTGACTTTGCATGTTGCATTGTTTCTTGAGTAGAGAATGTGGTCCCATTCTTGCTTCATCTTCTTTATGATATATTTGGTATATTTAATTGAATAAGATAAACATATAGTTCGAATGAAAAAGATAAATGACAATTGATTTTTATTTATATTCCTTCTTATCCATTCTAATATACTAAATATGTCATTAGTGTAAGCACTAAGAAGTAGACTAATTTCTTTTTCGAGCATATTCAATTTTGTCATTCCCAATTCTTATTGAGTCTAGTACTAAGGTGTGACAAGATTGGGCTTGTTTTGGATCTAAATTACATGCCTTTGATGATGTACTATTTTATGACCACGCTCCTTGACAACTACTCATCAAAGTAGACTACAAGCTCTTTTGAATTTGTAATCACTGCTTGTATGATCAGTATTGACCATAATTCACAAAGATGAAGGGTTTAAATATACCAAATGTCACATAATCAATGGAGTTCTATATGATATTAGACTAAAGAATCGCCAAAAAGAGTGTTCTAACAAACTAATGAGTTGATAAGCACACTCCATAGTTTTCACTTTCTCTTCATCGAGCACATTGTTTGGTTAAGAGGCATTTGTTTATTAACACGCATAATGCATCTTATGGTTGAGAATAAAGTGGAAAAAATACATGCACGATTTCTTTGTCTAGTCGAGAGTTGTGCTTGGATGAGTTGAGATAACGCTTTGATTTGAAAAATATTTATAACAAAAATAAGTTATTTTAACAAAAAGGAAAATATAATTTTCATATTTGTCAAATTGAGTACTAGTTTCATACAATTACTACCAAATTCATACTTTTTTCTAGGTTCGTCAAATCCAAATAAGTTCATTCAATCAAAAATCATTTTATATCAAACTTTGTAGAATATATGAATTTTTTTAATCTTTAACGATATTTTTATTCTTGATAAAGCACAAATTATTGTTTTCATAAGAATTTATGTCCTTGTTGTTAAACAAATTTATACATATCAATATTTTGAAAAGGGTAGCGCTATTTACATTCACGTTTTTTATATATACATCCACTTCTAAAAAAATAATTATACTATATTTTAATCTTATGTAAATTTACCTAAATAGACATATATAAAATTAAATAAAAATATATCATTCTAAATTTACCACTCATATTTATTTCATTAAATTCTTTTAAATCTTTTTACTTTCTTTCGGAAATTGTGTTTAATTAAATCCTAATAATCACAAAATATCCTCTCAACTAAAATCATAAAACCCTAACAATCATAAAATATCATCTTCAACTGAAATCAATAAATTTAGAGATCTTATTCCAAAAAGCGAGAGGGGATGTTTTGTTAAGGCCTACCACAAGAGGTAAAACTCTGAAGACAAGGAAACACAATATGCAGCTTCAAGGGCATGGACAAAATGGGGAATGATGATTGCCCATCTTATCCCAAATGAAGTTACATTACAGAGAGGGGACGATGATAAATTTTGCTTGGCATTTGCAAGGATTGAGAATCATTACTTCATGAACAAAAGANCCCCCCCCCCCCCCCCCCATTCTGACTCATTTTTGTTGGATAATATTGAAAAGATAAAGCACATCGACACTGTAATTGGACAGGGAAGGTATGATGTTTGCTGCCCCATGATGTCTGCCTGGGATCTTCACAAAGCTTGGCCAGAGGTTGATTTCATAATTGTTCCTGATGCTAGGCATTCTGCTAATGAGCCGGGGACATCAGAACAACTGGTTGCTGCAACCAATAAATTGAAACACATCATCAAGGAGAAGTAAAGCTAAAGTTTTCAGCCATTAGTTTTTATTTGATCCTGTATTGTGAACCTAAGGTAGTTTATTTCCCATTTGTTGGATTTGAAGTTCATGTGAAGAGTCGACAACTTGTTAGAGGGGCATCCTTTCAGTTCTGTTTCGTGAATTTGATGACTATACTTCAAGTATATGAACTTGGTGACATAATAATAATAATGGGGATGAATATAGCGATTTTTTAAAAGATTTTGAAATTGTTTCAAGAATGTATTTAGAGTGAGATGAATATATAAAATTTGTGTGGATATATATTGTTTAAATGAAATAATTCAATAAGGAAAATATTGGAATGTAACGTGGATGACAATAGTAATTTTTTAAAATTTTAATATTTTTGTAGGGAATATATATAATAAAAGAAACAAATTATTGTGTTAAATTGCAAATGGATGATAAGTAGTAAAGTGTAAAATTCGAGTGTCCATTTATGATCTGTGACAGTGGAGCTTTGTGTTATTTTCCAAAAGGAATGGGATGTTTTTGTATTTGTCATAAACTATGGGGGAGGATTGTGCAGTTTTATCAAGGAATAGAAAGGGGGGGAAAGGGAAAACGAAAAAACCTATTGTACAGTTAGGGCAGACGAATTCTGCAGATTGCGTCCCCAATCAAAGGTTTAAAACCCTTCTCTCCCAAATGCCAAATCACAGATTCCTTTTCTCTGTTTAAGTTTCCGCAGACTGCAATCATTACTATTAGATAGATTTTTAGATAGTGAAAATAGCGGAACTATAATTTATTTATTTATTTATTTATACAGATTTATTCAATAAATTATCAAATTGGGGGAGAAGGGTTTTTTATTTAAAAATATACCCCTGTGTATAGATTCATATATATTGAATAATTTAGTGAGAGACTGCGAGAAGCAAGGAGAGTGAAAATGTCGAAGAAGAAAGCAACGATGACTCTCAAAGACTTCCATGGCGGTTCCATTCCTTCCGATCTTCGACTCCCCTCTGCACCTGGCCTGTGAGTTCTTTTTATCTTTTTGACGCTTCCATTTCATTATTGATTATACCGGAAGAAGTATACATGTCAAGTCTGTTTTTGTAATGTGATTTTGGGAAAATGTCAGGTTTTTTTTTTTTTTTTTTTTTTGAGTTCAATACTATACTTATTCATTTGGTCTCAATTCAAGATCATTTTTTTAAGTTGAATTTTATACCCAACAAATTGTAGTGTCATTTCCCATTAATTCCTTGAATCCAGGTTTATTTGTTTATTTAATTTGAGGAAATGTTTAGTGGGCATTTTATTTATTTTGTAAATCAGAACAGTAAAATACTGGATTTAGTATTTGAAATTTTGAATATGGTTCATATTTTTGGACAGAATGGCAAGACCTGCAGATCGAGGTAGTTTTGATCAGCAGTCGCCATGGGGAAATTCGATGGGTAGGTCCAGTCAACGCTTGAGGCCGGCATCAGCTGGGTCAGCTAGGAACTTTGATGACAAGACCCCATTTTTAAGTCACAGTGCCCACATTGGCCGCAATTTTGATGAGGATGAACGCAAGCCTTTGGATGGGTTGTCAGGTTCTCGACGAACTGTCACTGATGAGAGCAACCGTGCTCCGCCAAGTCGTGTGGTAGAACCTAAGATAGATAGTTTGGCTGGTGCTAGAGTTGGTAGTCAGCTGTCTTCAACCCCTCCCTCTCATTTGTCTAGTGATACAACTGTTAGTTCTTATGCTGGAAATGCTGGTAGGCATAGTGAAGTTCATAACATGGGGTCGAATATTCAAAATTTTAGGTCAGCTGTTGCTGGTTCCTATTCAAATCCATGGGGTGTGAAGAAGGAGGTGGCGCATGTGAGTGACCCTGTATCTGCTTCATGGTCAGCTCCGGATGTTGCAGTGAAGCTGTCACATGCTAGTGCCATTGAGAAGGTCTCCTCTGGTCGGTGGCATTCGCAACATGTTCATCCTCAAAAAGATGTTGAGGCCATTGGACAGTCGGAACCTGAGAGAGAATTTCATTGTCGGGGCAAAGACATGTCCAACAGGAATATTTACAATGGTACAAATGTGTTAGGTGGAACTGACTATCATGATATTGCATTGGCGATGCATATGGAAAGGAGTCTGATTGCTGGTGATGGGATTCACAATGGTGGAAAGGAGACACTGTCTCATGATAGAGTCAGGAGTACCATGTACACGGAGATGCATGGGAGGAATCCTTCCGTTAATGACAAGGAATTTCAGCCACGTAGCACTACTGGAGTATCTGGTGATACTGAGTTACAGTCTCCAGGGACTTCAGAAACATCAGAGCGACCCAAATTGAAGTTACTTCCAAGATCCAAACCGTTAGAGGATTTAGAGCTTCCTCTCGATTATAAACAGGTAAAAGTTAGTGTTTTAACATTCTGATTTTTCTATTGAACTGGAAATCAAGTATAATTTAATGTATCTTTGCAATTCGTCTTTCTGAGTGAAGGGACGCCAGCGGCCAAGTGATCCGATTCATTTGAGGGTCGACAATGAATTACCCAGAACTGCAATTCCTGTAGAACCTGGGTTTACTGGATCAATGGTCGTTAATCATGCGGTAGAGCGCCCAAAATTGAGATTAAAGCCTTGCTCACTACCTCTTGAACAATTGGAGGGAAACACTGAAATCAAAAGGTCCATCAACTTTTACTAACTTGCTCACAGAATTTTTTGTCGTTTATTTCTTCTCGACCTGTTTGCATTCTTAGTCTATTTGATTTTTTTTTATTTTACTCGTGACAGGATAAATAGATTACATTACTATTGATGAAACTTTATAGTAATTGACAGATGATAAACTGAGGTAATTATACTGTTTCAAATAGCAATAGATGTAACTTTTATAAAATTTTAATTGCCAAGGAGATGCCAAAGGTATTGTGCTCCAAGGAGATTCTAATAAAGGTATTGTGCTCGGCACAAACTTGGTCATTTTTCTCAGCCTCATCAAATTGTTGCAACTTATAACGACTTCAACAAGGTACCTTAATGTTGACAATGAGTGCATTTTAGGAATAGGAAATTGGGTTTTCAGCTTGCTAAGTCCGCATGTTTTCAGTGTTAGAATGGCAGAGAAGTTACAACTTGAACTTTTTAGCCCACTCTCATGCAATAAGTAACACTCAAAGACCAACCACTGTAGGTACCCTTTTCTTGAGGTTTTCACTGCCAATGACGATGGTAAGTTGTAGCACGAGACTTAGCAATCACCTGAGTTGGTGGTGTAGAAGCAGTACCAGTAGGTTCTGGATTGGAGCAGCAGTGACTACATTAACTGGTTGTAACATTAAAGGGACGTTGGCAATCAGTTATAACCTATTATAACTTATAATAGAAGTAGTAATGTAACTGCAGTAGCAAAAATACCAATACTAGAGTCTGTTAACTTCAGCTTAAGAAAAGAATTAAGCTTGTTGTACGTTATTATTTATCAGATATAAAAAAAAATTCAGAAGATGGTACTTCTTTTACCATCACAATTTACCTTTCTTATGCTTGTTTCTCTTGGAATTTTAGTTTCTCCCAGTGAGAACTCTCTTGTTGATCCTCTCCATTTCTGTCTTTGTCATTGTCGCAGAAACACTGTGTTCGCAGGGGCTCGTCCACGAGAAGTGGTAAGTACATTTCCGTCATTGTCAAATTATCTGAAAAATTCATTTGGAAATTTCAAGTTATGTAAATCTTCTTTCTGCTTGATGCCTTCTAAACCTCCATTTATAGGCTTTTTGGATACTCATTTTTTAACTCGGTCTTGCTGCTACTCCAGATGTGGTTTTATCTTAATAATTGATGGTTGTGGGTCTTTTCTGCATCTTTTCCGTATGGTTGCTCCATGGTTAGCTTTATTATCGTGATTGTCAATCTGTCTACCAGGTTCTGAAGGATCGGGGGATTGATGGTGTTGCCGTTAACCTTTATGACAGTCAACCTCCTTCTCGGTATCAATATAATTTCAGTTCTTTTTAATGAGAGTTTCTATGAATTAAAGATTTGTACATGTTCACACAACTTCTTTTCTCATCTTTATTTGCATTATTTACTGCGTGAAGGATCAATCAAGATGCTCCCAAGATGGATCCAGTGTCGGTGCAAGTTACTCCTGCCGGTTATAGTGAGAAAGCTAAAAAATTTCTTGGTGATCAACGGGTAGCGAGGAGTTCTGATAGGCGAGATCAACGTATGGACATTGAAAGAACAGATGCACGGAGGAGGAACAAAGGAAATGAAAGTTGGAGGAATTACAGAGAAATTGTAAAACACGATGACCTGCAGCCGCAGCAACAGGAGAGGGACCTGTCACCTGACACCTGGTGCAAGCCTGTCGAAAGTCCAAAACCCGACTCCACGCCTGCCCCTGAGCAGCGTCATGGGAAAGTGACTTCCGCTCTTGAGCTTGTGCAGGCCTTCTCCAGACCAGTCTCTGATCCGACTATTGCTGATTGTCTTTCTGGCCCCCAAGGCATTCCGAGCCAGAGTCAGATATCTTTTTCTCGGTTAACAGGTTGAGGCCCGAAGCCTCAGATTAATGGTTACTGAATTTTCGCTATAGCAGATACATTTAAAACGAGAGAAACTTTCACCCCCTCCAAATGTTCGTTTACACCTGAATCCCGGTGGGTTATTTTCCCTAGTTCATAGTGATCATTGAGAAGGGATCCGATTGGTACTTGACGCAACGTTCGAGCCACATACAAACAAGAAAATAACATACATTTTTTCTTCATGTTGACAATAATCACATAACTGTTGTATTTCAGGAAATTTATCTATTGACAGATTTCCTATTGAAGTTCATCTAGCCTAATTTGGGATTTATGAGTTTGCGAGTGGATTTATTTTTCCATTGATCACATTTGCCGCTGGGCTTTTAGTTTCCGGTGATGCTTTTTCTTTCCATTGCAGTAATTAATTAATTTTTTGACATGTAATAGATGTTTCAAATTTGCTTGTTTAAGCTTAAACAATATACTAGTAAGTAAATAAATTAATTTCATATAAAATAAATATTTCTAATAATTAATTTTGGCACATTAAGCTTTATCAAATTTGGTCTGCTGCACATTATAGACATCGCGGATATGAATTATTGGTCATGTCCTTGCTCTCTGTATATCTGTTCTTAATTTACATTATTAGGTTCCATTTGATTCCTATTTTTTGGTCAAAAAATGAAAAATATGATCGTTATTCATCACACTACGTCATCATATTTGACTTTTTACTTCTTATGTGGATTCCATAACAATTATATTTTTCATGCTCATTCTTATTCTTATAAGAATGAGAATCAAATGGGACTTAATAAATTTATTACAGTAAAGTAGTTGATAATTTAAGGATGTGGGTCCTATTTATGGAGGTTTTATTTATTTATTTATTTTGAGGAAGTACTTTAATATTTATTTACTCCTGTCAATCTATTAAACTTTCTTGACAACATTGCAATTTCAAGAAAAAATTTAATACAAAGATGGTAAGTAATGCAATGATATTGCCTACAAGGCACAAGCAATGTGACTTTCCCAAAAGCCTTTTGAGAAAGAGTAAAGGCTTCCATGTAAGAAATAGTTGAGATCACTTGTATTAATCCTTTAAAACGACTCCTCGACTGCGCAAGGGACATCGATGACAGTTTGCAGCAGTCTCTTGCTTCTTCTCGCCTGCAGTTGCTGCTCTAAGCACTCTATCAGTGCTTGGGAAATCGGAAAGGGAAATCCTTTTCATGTTTCATATAGGCTCCTACTATGCGGAAATGGAGAAATTTTGCAACTTCTGATTTAAATGGACACAGTTTCAAGTTCACAATTACTTTTAAAATCATCGGAGATTTGTATTCTCTATGTATAAATCTATTTGATCTAACCCTATTTGGCTCAGATTTTAATATGAGTTAAAATCAAACAAACAATGTTAATTACATTTTCATGGGTTCCACAATTTTTTGACCACACATTTCGAAAAATTTCTATCAAAATCTGTTAAAAATCTAATTTTAATCCTCACCAAACATCCTGCCATGTTGTTTGATGACACTTGAAAAAAAAGAAAAAAAGAAACATGGTCATCTTTCCAATGGTTGAAAAAGTAGAGAAAATGATGTAATGTGTTAATGGTTAGTACATAGTGCTGCATTGACTAGATTTAGTTCTTAACATTTGATGTATTACATATTGATGGAACTATTCTCGAGTTGCAGTTAAATCAGTAATTGGATCTCTAGAAAATCACACAACTAGAGCAGACTAAGGTCAACCCAATTTTATCATAACTGCTTTTTTCTACCTACCAACCGGAGTCCTTAAACTTCACAAAATATGCCATTTCTGTCTTCATTCAATTCTATTTCACACACACATCTTCAAACTTTCAATCTGTGCACACTAATTGGAAACCTGCAACAAATAGCCTACGTGACAAGTTGATCCCAATCAGTAAAAAGGTACATTCTTTGTGTTGTATTCGAGAAAACCGGCATTAGTAGATTTTGCAAATTCCATAATCAGCTTGAAAAGTTCAATAGAAAAGAAAAGAAAAACGCAGCTACCAGAATAAAAAAACTAATTTCAAATATATGAATTATCATAGATACGTTAGTAATACATGTTTGTAGACATACATTTGTTCTACTACTACATAAAGAAAGAATCAGTTTATTGCTTTAGAAGTCCTTCATGATTAGCTTATCAAGAAGTTTAAACGCAGGCAATAGCTTTCTCTCCCTGCAAACTACATCAATTAGTAGACTCCATGTATTTGGCTCTGGTTTAAACCCCATATCCATCAAAAGGAACGACGTAACAGCAGCTTCATTTGCCTTTCCGGCCTCACAAAGACGAACCAGTAACTCATTTGATGTAGCGAAATGGGGCAGAAAACCCCTATCCAGCATCAGACGCAACAAATTATTCGCCTTCTCCAATTCACCTTCCTTGCACAAGAAATTTAACACAATCCTGTAACTAGCCTTGTTAAGATAAACACCATCATATGGTAACCTCTCGAGCATGTTGAGTGCCTCATCAAATCTACCTTCTCTGCACAATCCCCCGAGTATTACATTAAACGTCACCTCATCTGCTTTGCACTCATTTTCTTTCATCTCCTTGAGCAGAACAATGGCTTCATCAGTTCTAGCAGCTCTGCACAAGAAGTTAATTAAAGTGGTAAAAATAACAGTATCAGGTTTCAGACCAGCACTTTTCATCTCATCAAAAGTTCCCTTGGCTTCCTCCAGTCTTCCCTCCTTACAGAACCCATTCATTAATGCTGAGTAATTGATTACATTAGGGTTGCATCCATTTTTCTTCATGAATTCCATTATCTTCCTAGCTCTGTCAGTTTTTCCTCCACGAGAAAACCCATTGATTAAAACACTGTAAGTTAATGCATCAGGCACAATTTGATGTTTTGTGAGCATTTCCTCAAACAGATCGATTGCTTCTTTTAGTCTGCCGCTTCCACAAAGACCATCCATCAGAGTTGAATAGGTGATCAAGTTAGGAAAAGATACCTTTGACTTTTCCATCTCTTTTACCACTTCAAATGCAGACGCTAGATCTCCCCTTTTGCAGTGGTGTTTAACCAAAATGTTAAAGATGCATGTATTGGGTTCCAAATGTTTTCAAAAAAAAAAAAAGTCCCCCCCCCCCCCCCCCCATTCTGACTCATTTTTGTTGGATAATATTGAAAAGATAAAGCACATCGACACTGTAATTGGACAGGGAAGGTATGATGTTTGCTGCCCCATGATGTCTGCCTGGGATCTTCACAAAGCTTGGCCAGAGGTTGATTTCATAATTGTTCCTGATGCTAGGCATTCTGCTAATGAGCCGGGGACATCAGAACAACTGGTTGCTGCAACCAATAAATTGAAACACATCATCAAGGAGAAGTAAAGCTAAAGTTTTCAGCCATTAGTTTTTATTTGATCCTGTATTGTGAACCTAAGGTAGTTTATTTCCCATTTGTTGGATTTGAAGTTCATGTGAAGAGTCGACAACTTGTTAGAGGGGCATCCTTTCAGTTCTGTTTCGTGAATTTGATGACTATACTTCAAGTATATGAACTTGGTGACATAATAATAATAATGGGGATGAATATAGCGATTTTTTAAAAGATTTTGAAATTGTTTCAAGAATGTATTTAGAGTGAGATGAATATATAAAATTTGTGTGGATATATATTGTTTAAATGAAATAATTCAATAAGGAAAATATTGGAATGTAACGTGGATGACAATAGTAATTTTTTAAAATTTTAATATTTTTGTAGGGAATATATATAATAAAAGAAACAAATTATTGTGTTAAATTGCAAATGGATGATAAGTAGTAAAGTGTAAAATTCGAGTGTCCATTTATGATCTGTGACAGTGGAGCTTTGTGTTATTTTCCAAAAGGAATGGGATGTTTTTGTATTTGTCATAAACTATGGGGGAGGATTGTGCAGTTTTATCAAGGCATAGAAAGGGGGGGAAGGGAAAACGAAAAAACCTATTGTACAGTTAGGGCAGACGAATTCTGCAGATTGCGTCCCCAATCAAAGGTTTAAAACCCTTCTCTCCCAAATGCCAAATCACAGATTCCTTTTCTCTGTTTAAGTTTCCGCAGACTGCAATCATTACTATTAGATAGATTTTTAGATAGTGAAAATAGCGGAACTATAATTTATTTATTTATTTATTTATACAGATTTATTCAATAAATTATCAAATTGGGGGAGAAGGGTTTTTTATTTAAAAATATACCCCTGTGTATAGATTCATATATATTGAATAATTTAGTGAGAGACTGCGAGAAGCAAGGAGAGTGAAAATGTCGAAGAAGAAAGCAACGATGACTCTCAAAGACTTCCATGGCGGTTCCATTCCTTCCGATCTTCGACTCCCCTCTGCACCTGGCCTGTGAGTTCTTTTTATCTTTTTGACGCTTCCATTTCATTATTGATTATACCGGAAGAAGTATACATGTCAAGTCTGTTTTTGTAATGTGATTTTGGGAAAATGTCAGGTTTTTTTTTTTTTTTTTTGAGTTCAATACTATACTTATTCATTTGGTCTCAATTCAAGATCATTTTTTTAAGTTGAATTTTATACCCAACAAATTGTAGTGTCATTTCCCATTAATTCCTTGAATCCAGGTTTATTTGTTTATTTAATTTGAGGAAATGTTTAGTGGGCATTTTATTTATTTTGTAAATCAGAACAGTAAAATACTGGATTTAGTATTTGAAATTTTGAATATGGTTCATATTTTTGGACAGAATGGCAAGACCTGCAGATCGAGGTAGTTTTGATCAGCAGTCGCCATGGGGAAATTCGATGGGTAGGTCCAGTCAACGCTTGAGGCCGGCATCAGCTGGGTCAGCTAGGAACTTTGATGACAAGACCCCATTTTTAAGTCACAGTGCCCACATTGGCCGCAATTTTGATGAGGATGAACGCAAGCCTTTGGATGGGTTGTCAGGTTCTCGACGAACTGTCACTGATGAGAGCAACCGTGCTCCGCCAAGTCGTGTGGTAGAACCTAAGATAGATAGTTTGGCTGGTGCTAGAGTTGGTAGTCAGCTGTCTTCAACCCCTCCCTCTCATTTGTCTAGTGATACAACTGTTAGTTCTTATGCTGGAAATGCTGGTAGGCATAGTGAAGTTCATAACATAGGGTCGAATATTCAAAATTTTAGGTCAGCTGTTGCTGGTTCCTATTCAAATCCATGGGGTGTGAAGAAGGAGGTGGCACATGTGAGTGACCCTGTATCTGCTTCATGGTCAGCTCCGGATGTTGCAGTGAAGCTGTCACATGCTAGTGCCATTGAGAAGG